GTCCGCTGAGCTAAGACTCTTTATGGAAAACATTTCTGCTGAAGACAGCCTCACGTCAGTGTATCTGCTCTCAGATTGAGGAAGATGCAGCGTTTGCAACCTTTGAAGATGGAACTCCCGCTGTGGCTTTCCCTGCGATAACGTGCACCTACGAGAAACTCCTTCACCTTTGATCACTGCTTTGAGTTTTTTTCATGCATATTTGCTCACATTATTTTTCTTTAGAGTACATTTATAACATTTTTCTATTTTTATTTGATGACTTTTCTTCACTGTCTGCTCACACTTTCATCCACAGTAAGAACTAATTTATGACTCATGCAACACATTTAAATAGGGACCGATCTAAATACGTTGATTGCGCAATGTATTAAACTGCCTGTCAATAAAAATAGTTTCAGATTAAAGAGGAAATACGGTATAAACATCGTATTCCTCACTAAACTTACTTATTCGCAATTCTTTCAGGGATCTGCGTTACAACAAGAGCTTCTCTGTTCTCATGAGAGACACTGCAGACCGCTCAGCCACAGAAAGTACAAGCCACTGTTAAATACAGGAAGTGTTGATAACCAACCGCCTCCCTTCCTTTCTCTGCGACAGTTTTCGGTGGATGAAATCAGACAGTCAGTCCCCTTCGGCCTCTGATAGGTTTCCCCGCTGCTCACGTTTAGGAGTTCACATGGTGAGTCGCTTAATTTATTTATTCTGTATATCTTTATTCTATTTATAAAGATGTGTTCACTTGTTTGTGTTGTGGTCGGTGTTGCTGCATTCTCCAGTCAAATGCACTTTGCTTCTACTGAAATAGGAAACATCTTTTTACTTCAAGGCATTATCGTTCACAATCAGTGTTCACTTCTGCCCTCACACAGGAAGCTCTGTTTGGCATTTTAAGTGAATCAGCCTCTTCAAGGGGGACCAAGAAGTTTAGATCACATTTTATCTTTGAAAACAGAAAAGAACTCGGGTGGTTTTGGGGTAAAGACGGACTAAAAACCAACGCAGTTCTCAGGCCTCAATAATTAAAACTCTACTTTTAGAAAATTTAATTCTGAGAAAACGTTGCTCCAGATTTCTTTACAGCATTAAATTATTCATTGCTGTTTTTCCTTTCTTCTCTCACAACTTGAAACGGTTTTAAATTCAGGTTTTACATTTTTAAGGGATGTTTTTTTTGGTCATTTCTGATTATTAAATGAAAATGAAGGGCTGAATAATAAAATGATTAAAGAGAAACTGGTTAAGGATCAGTTGGTTATAATTGGCAAAGGACAAGGCAGTCAGAGGTCGATGAGCCGGAGAGTCAGTCTTTTATATTTTGGGTTTTACTGATTTGTTTATGTTTCAGAATCCATATCTCAAAAGTGTGAAACAGATTGTTTTATGATATTTAACAGCTTAGTGAGATGACAGTGTGGAGTGGCAGAGGTCTTGGAAAACTAACTGCTGAAGTGAAAACAAGTAATGACACAAACTAAATATTTACAGTCAGGAATAGTGTTTATGCGGGAAATTTAACCTCTAACAGGTTGAGGAGAAGGTTGCAAAGACAGGCTGTAGTTAGCAGGCCACAGGAGGGGTCCTCATGATTCATAAACAGGAATCACTCACATTTAGCTACCTACTGTCTGTTCCACCTTATCTGTGTATTGTTACGGTTTACGGTGTATTGTATTGTAGGTTTTGAATGAATGGTCTGTTGTTGTATGTTGTGATTTTTTTGTTGTTTATTCTGGCACCGTCTTTGCACCTCAGCGCCAGGAAACGTCATTTCATTCAGCTGTGTGTGGAAGAATGACAATGAACAACATTACAGATATATACATGTGCATTATTCTGGGTCTGTGCCGTGCAGAAGTAACGCAACGGAAGAGAATAATGTGTAAATATAAATATATAAACTGACAACATAAAAATATACAACAACAAAGATCAACAATCAAAAACAAATATGTGCGACGTGCCACACGAGATTAAACAGTAGGTAGGTCTGTCATCTCAGAAGGTCCCTTACTTGGTGAAAATCTGAATGGATCTTTTCGTGCCTCTGTCCTCACTCAGTGACAGTTCTATATTAGGAGGTGACTCTAATCACACCCTCGATCCATCCTTATTATAACACGAAAGGAAACTTTACGTTATGGGTGACGATCTAAATGCATGCGACGTGGAGGGTAAAATCCCAGCAAGAAAAAAAAAAAAGTTCATGTTAGTAATTGACTTATAAAATACACTCACTGTTTCCACTTCATTGGACAAAAAATGTGTGAGGCTCAAAGCAATTGGCTGTATGTTAACATGCTAAAATGCTTACAATGATTGATGATTCAGTGCTTGTGGGCCGGTACGCACAGGAACGCAGTACCGGTTCTCCATACCAGGTTCTCTGGGCGCTCTCTGCCTGCTAAACTCTGCCGGCGGGGAGAGAAGAGGGAGGAGAGAAGCTCGGTGCCTTCCAAGCAGCCGTGTGCTGAATGCAGCTCGTCACTGTCACTTATCGTGAACCGACCAATCACAGCCTGGATGGGGCGGGACATTTAGAAATATTGACAGATAAGTGTCCCTTACACTGGGGACGCGGGGGACAGGTGAGAATCAGAATACCTCCATCTAGGGTTGCCAGCTTCAATACAGAAAAATAAGGGACGCCTGCCGCAGCGGGGGCCACACCCCTCGGGGCCCGGTAATGACAGGCCTGATGAGGTGCCATTGATGGTGTGTCATGACTTAAAACATGTTGTCAGGAAAGTAGTAAGATTGATACTAATAGACATTATAATAAGCTGTCTGCTATTGAAATCAGTGTGAACAGATGGACTCACTCTCCTTATCACAACTCATGGTCTGAGACTAATGGTCATATTGTCAGAGCTTGTGTGAAGTATTGGAGCCTGTTAGGCCTACTTCCTTTATAAATGTTTTCTTGTCAGAAGTAGGCTACACTACTCATGCAGCACTGAGTAGCTGTTTGTCTTTCAGACTGCTGCAGTAAAACTATGAACAGGACTGCTCAAAGTTCAGAGTGATGAAGAGCTCACTCCTAATGAGCTCCACAGAGCAAGTGTTCTTGCTGTCACTTGACTGATGGACAGGATGAGACCACACAGAACACTGGCCGACAAGTTGTGACGTTTGGCTTGATACTGATCAAGTAGTCTATTTGATTTCTCCCACTCTTGTTGTCGTTGCTACTTTTTGCATCCTCTTTTGTTTCAGAGGGGACGTGGGGGGGGTTTCTGGAGCTGCCGCCACCGTGGTTTCAACTCGACTCCCTGCTAAGAGACCCGCCCTTATCTGACTCCGATTGGCCCTGAACCTGATGGTTTAATGGCAGCGAGTAGTAGCCAATCATGGGTAGAATAGGACAAGTCTTCACAGAATGCGGGTGGGATGATTTGCATGGGATGCTGCATTGAAGACAACTCGGAAATACGGGACAAACTGCTTTTGTTGTTTTGTTGTTGTTTGTTTTGTTTGTTTGCAACCAGAAATGTTTAATAACAAATGAAACAATGCACAATAAGAAAACATGCAGAAGAAACAAATGGGCATTGTCCAAATTGTCACCTGCCACCTTAATTTTGTTTCCCTCCATATAAATAAAGACATTTCCACCATAGATTGGAGCAGAAAATGTCTCCAGGATGCAGGAAATTAAGTGTTTAATGCTCAAAGTCTTCTGGGGGAGGACCCCCCAGAACCCACTGATATATTTCAGCATCGAATATCTCTTCAAAAGTTACAGTTAAAATATCTTCTCGTCTTGTTCTCGTGACCCAAAGGTGCGTCACACCCTTAATCTGAGCCCCTATGTGTTCACCACTTTACAACATAAAGTGAGGCAATCAGCAAACTTTTGAAACGACGTTCTGCATGAATGGATGTGATTATGACAAGTTATTACTTGAACTTGCACTGATAATGATGTTAAGCAAATATAATCTTCACCGTGTTAGTTTTGTGTGTGCATGCTAACATTTGCTAATTAGTAGTAAACAAAGTACAGCTGAGGCTGATGGGAATGTTTTTAGTTTTGCCGGTAAATAAAATTTTGACTTGATGATGGCGCTAGATGAAAAGTCAGAGGGTGAATTCATCCTGAGGGAAACATGAATATCTGAACCATATTACCACTCAAATTACCACTTTCTAGTTTACTGACCTCTCAAAGCGATTTGCAAGTCACATTCACACATTACTATCACACAAACACTGATGGAAGAGGCTACCATGCTCATCAGGAACAGAAACACATTCATAGGGCTCGAAATGCCGACTTTCTGATTAATGGACAACCCACTCCACCTCCTGAGCCACAGCCGTCCTCCAAGGCTCCTTGAGTGGCATCCTTTGAGTGAGAGCATCAGCTGCTGCAGGGCCTGTATGAGAGTGTAGCTGCTGAACCACAGGGGCGTGTTTCTCAGTGTGACACTACATTGTGATGTGAAACCAGCTTATGTTTATGTAGCTGTGAATCTGTGAGTGTACTGGAAACTGTCGTGTTCCACAGTCAGGGAAATACCACAGACAGAACTGGTGCAAGCTGGAGTTTATGTTTGTTCAGGACCTGAGACGGGGGCGTTACAAGAAGGTTAGAACAAAGATAACAACTTTGTGTCATTCACACGTCTTTAAGTTGATATAATAAATACTAAGTTCACTTCAGACTGCTGTAGTCAGAGTTACAATGTCTAACAGGACAGCATGCGCAACCCCATTTTTAACCTCTGATGTTTTTAGAGGAAATTTAACTATAAGAATTGAGAGTCCAGCAGGCAGCTGTTCCCAGGTTGAGGTTAAAAACCAAAAGCAGAAGTTTATAATGAGGGCCCCTCAGCTCTCAGGATATCGCACTCGTACAGTTTGTGTGATCTTTACACAGATGCTCAATTCAGCATTTCCTTCATTTTCGTGACATATATATATATATATATATATATATATATATATATATATATATATATATATATATATCTATAGCCAAGAAACTGAAGATCTCAAACAGCGCAAACTGGCTCTAAGCAGAATAGAAAGAGGAGTGGGAGGCCCCGTGCAAAACTGAGCAAGAGGACAAATATTTTAGAGGGTTTAGTTCGAGAAACGACTGGCATCAGCGTCATTAAACAGTACCTGGAAAACATCAGTGAAGAGGCGCCTTCCGGGATGCTGGCCCTCTTGGCAGAGTTGCAAAGGAAAGGTCTGTCTGTAATAATATAGCATAAAGGAGGGATATTTTGTAGTTTGTGAGTGGAGAATAATATTATTTAATGGCAGATTGGAAATATTGGACATTTGTTTGAGCTCAAAAATAGATATATTTTTAAAACATATTCTGACTTGCCCAAGAGCAGATCTGGTGTGACTTCTCACGTCTTGACAAATCTGGTATTATGTGTTGCTCCACATTGGGAGTGCCGTGATGGATTTGATAAGTGCCTAAATTTCTACAAGCGTTCAACTCCAGAGAGTATAACTAAGTCACAGTATGTGAATATCTGCCACAACTTTTTTTTCTGAAATACCTTCATAGCAGTGTCCACAAATACGAATCTTCATACACTACCTGCCTGAGCTTGTCTCCAGCCCTCAGTGTAAACAAGGGCTGTAATCCTCAGGAGTGAGATTTACCTGAAGTTGCTGCAGCACAACTGATAAAACTCCCGGGCACAGAAAATCATTACGACAAATTAGTTTTGTTAAAGTCACAAATTTGGTTGACAACCTATAACTGTTGGTATACGTGAAGATTACGTATTTGGGTAATTTTGTATCCTTTGAATCAGTAAGAGCCTTCTTTGCAGCCTCGGGTGGCTGCTGTTTTCTCGTCACTCAGGAAGCACTGTTGCACCATGTAGTCTAACCAAAGCTGCTGTAATTGGGAAACTTTGTGTCTCCTCTTCTGTACAGATAGGAAGCTGCAGGGGCATGTCCTCCGCTCTGCAGAGATCCAGATATGTCAGCTGGTGTGGATCTGCAGAATCTCCAACACCTGTGACTACGGTTCTGACAGCAGGAGGTAAGATCTGAAAATAGCTTTACAGAGCTTTGAAGGCTGTGCAGTTACACCGGAAACATCATGTTTCACATACCTGCCGTGTATGGGGAAACACAGATGATTCACAATAAAAGCCTTCCACCACCTCAAAAAGCAACAACTCTCCTGTTCCTGCTATAGGCTTTTAATTTGAAATATCTGGAAGCGTTAATAATCATTTGTCTGCAGGGACACCTTTCACCTTTTTTAAGGTTTGTTTCTGGTTCAAACACAAGACCAGCTGAGGAAAGAGACAGACAGTTGATGCGAATTTTAAATATTTATTGACAAAATAAATATGTGTCTCCCATCTCCTCTCCAGAAGCAGTTTCTCACCAGAACCATCAGCCGGCTGGTTCAAGATCAGTCCCACTTCTCCTTCTGTCTGCTCTGCACCACAGTGACAAAGCCCCTAACAGTCATGGTGATAAGGGTGAAAACAAAGACAGTGAGGAAGGAAGACCCGGGAACAAAGACGACCGGTCTCTTCTGCATCCAGATGACAAAAGTTTCCTCCTTCCCAGGAGCAGTCCGGTCATCTCCAGAAACCCCAGGCCCATCTCCTGGCATGGACGGGGGACCAACATGTCTGCTTGCTCAAGGTAACGACATACATGAAAGGTTAGAAAATGCCCGCTATAAAAGGTTTTTGTTATCCAAGTAACATGAAGTGAGCCATTTTTAAATAAAAAATGGCAGTGAAGAAATCACCTCATGTTCTGATCTGGCGCACAGTAGGGGATTTTCAAATCTTAACCAAGTTTAAAAACGTGGGATACCAAAGACATGATGACAGAATTAACCGATTATTAACATTTAAATCTTAAGAACACGCACCAGACGGTTCAGAGTGAACTCGAGGCTGAGAAGAGGGAATCAGCAGGTTTACACATTTTATAGCGCGAGCAGATGCACGCTGGTGACGCTTCCCAGACAGCTCGCTCTCATTGGCTGCTGCAGGTTTCTGATCTAAGACTCCCTGATTTTGAATTGGTAAGCGGGGAGCCTCGGATCCAATTGGTGACCTTAAGATCATGTGGGGAAAAGAGAATAATTCAGTTAAAGAACTGATTTTTTTTTGGTTGTCTGAAGGAGATCTGTTGAGCTAAGACTAAAATACATGTCTGTTGTGGAGACTGAATGTTTTCAAATGTTCATTTTGAATTTGCGGACCTGAATGTTATGATTTGTCATGTGACCATCCTGGTTGCTGTTCTTTTGTTGCGTGAAACATTTTTTCTTCTAGCTTGGACTCCCCAGCTCCTGCTTCGGGTTTGCGTTCTCTGGATCAGCCAGCGCCAGTCACCAGTATGGAGGATCTGGGGTCCCAACGGAGCTCCTGCCCCCACTCATCTCCGCTCCAGGAGGAAAAGAAGCCGCGCAGCATCTCTCTTTCATCACAACTGAACCGCCTCCTGAGCGCTGGGCTCCACCTTCCCTTCAGTGGACAGCAGGGATTGGCTGAGGAGCACAGAAGGCGGGGCTGTGATACCCCTCACTCATCAGGTAGAATATCTGCTGTGGCTGTAATAGTATAGAGAAACCTGTGATTTCTCAAACCTCCCCAATTTGATTCTGATTTGGATCAGTTTCATAACCAGAAAAAGTTATACCAGTTTATCCTGTCGGGAACATGAATGTCTGAATCAAATGCAATCCATCTAATACTGGATCAAAAATTAAATAAAAAAACAAAAATATCAACCTCATGTTCTCAAGAAAAAAACAGAAAGAGAAAGAAATAACATCATTATTATGATGGTCATAATGTTATGGTGTATCTCATGTGCTCATTCCAACCCAAACCGTGATCTTTACCTAAATCTAACCAGTTAGTTTCAGTTCCTCAACCTAACCAAGCTGCGACCGTTTCACAAAGTTAATCACATCTTAAGAAGGTGTTTTATACAGATGGATTTGATTCATTGTTGATATCGCTGTCAAATGAAGCTGCACTCATTTTTCGTGTGTGTGTGTTTTATCAGGCCTCTCAACCCCAACACAACACAGTAAAGAGAGAAGGTGCAGTGGTATCCCAGAATTCTCTGCAGATATCTTTAAGACCAGTAGTGAGCTGGAAAAGGTACGTTACCTACTTTCAGTAAAGTACATGTACAGCTTTTTAGTACTTGTAGTACATACATAAATATTGGATGCATTTCTTAATTTCAAGTTATGGTGAGTTCAGTGTGTTAAACACTTCTTCGCTCACTTTTTTAACACATTTTGATGTTTACTCCATGTTTACTGACTCAGATTAGACAGACATCTGTTTCATCTCTAGATCTCCCTGAAAAATATGAAAATGATCCATCTGCTCATCTGACTCTGGATAATATTCCTTATATAAAAATAATTAAGTGTCTGTGTGAATGATTGTGTGCAGGAAAATGCACATTTCATCGTGGTGGACATGGTGCTGGAGGTGCTGGAAGGCGTGAAGTGGACTCTGACTTCCACGATGGAAACACACGGCAGCATGTGCGCATGCGGACACACGAGCTCGGCAGAGGACTCGCCGCCACATGAACACGATCAGAGATACGAAACATGCGAACACTCACACACCTGCAGTACAGGTGATCATGAACAACACAACAACAAACACAGCCATTCAGATGATGATGTGAAGACATCACACACAGAGACACACTCCTCTTATGTACACACACACCAGCACACACAGGATGAAGAAGAAGAGGACGCAGGGAACGACCGAGCTGAACATCAACCAAAGACTTTCTCTGTCCTCTCCACTGACAGTGGATTTGAAGGTAAAATTCTTTTAATATAGAAGAGTAACATGAGTAAGATAAAATATATTCATACATCCCCAAATTTCCAAAATAACTCCTTATCAGGATCCTCATTTTCAAGGAATGCAGCCTGAGCAGGAATACCTGCAGACACTACTCAGGGTTGCAAAAACTACTTTTACATTTACTCATTAGTTTTTTAGCTTTTATCTAAAGCAACTTTTCTCTCAGGTAACACAGCTACAGTACCTTTAACGTCCTTCAAAGGTTCTTGTAATCTTTTGACAAAGGGATTTTAACGGGGTGTAAGGTCCTTTATTCAGCCGGTGAGTGTATATTAATACAACACATCATTCTGTGTGTTTTAATTTCAGACTGCGGAGTTGACGCTACGCTGACACTGAAAGATTCTCTCAGAAGGTGAGAAAAAAACAAACCCGGCACAGAAATTCCAACTTTCAGTAAATGCCTCAGCAAATGTTCTGATTATGTGATTCCCGAGTCAGTCTGTGGTGTCCCATAATGCAGTGCGGAGTGGCTGGCCCAGCATCTGGTCCTCGAGTTCAGAAGGAGCTGGCTTCCCTCCCATGGGCCTCGGCGTGGACGGCAAAGCCTCCGTAGCTCACTGCAGGAGGTGAGAACACACACAGCAACCAAATATCACGTTTGAAGTGTCTTCCTTTATAGCTGATTTGATGTGGTATGTGGGAGACAGATGGAGGAAGCTGCTGCTCATTTTGTTGGTTATGTGAAGACGTGTTAGTGTAACAAAAAGGGTTCTTTCGTTGGTTTATGTAATATTTAACCTGCATCAGTGGCTTATTTTCCCTCAGTTTGGGCCTCTCAGGTAATGTCGTGATTACCTGAGAAGCACCAACTAGGATGAAAAAAAGTGAACGTGCACGGTCGGTAGTCATTCGTTTGTTTTATACTTTTTTTTACATTTTGGGTATAACGTTAATGTAGTATAAGAACTGTATACTGGACTCCAAGATTGCTCGCCCAGCACTTAAAGATGTTAGGTAGGTGTTTTGTCCCCTTGGCCCCTCCCCCTCTGCCCATAGACTTTACATTGTGTAACGTCACGCAAATAAAACTCTTCTCTAGGCTCTGGAAAGGTTTTGCAAAGACAAAACCTTCATGTTTTAAAATTCATTATACAAGCAGTAATGACTGGATGTGTCAATTGTAGGTGTCCTCTCAACAGTTTTGTTTGAAGGGAAATTGTTTCCTTTCGGCTCAGAGTAGTAGCATGTAGCTGCAGTTCCGGAGGCTGCAGTTTCAGGACCGCAATCCTAGGACTGGAACTGCATTTCTAGGACCGCTGTTTACTTTGATAATGCCAGCTAGCTTAGGCTGGCTAGCTAGCTAGCGTACTCTTTACAGCCCCCCGAAGCCAATTACCCTTACCACAACCATCACCGAGTGTGTGCCTAAACTGAAGTTATTGATTATTTGCATGCCAAGCATCTGTAATTCACGTTAACTCCCATTTTAACAGGGATGACAACTTTGTCTAGCCAACACCAGTCTTAAAACAAAATGTACTCACCAGAGAAAGTGAACAGCCAACTCCTAATAAGCTTTTTCAACAGTGCTGGTTAAATTTACACAGTGCCATGAGTACGAGTCACTCTAGCCCGATTGACAGGTCACCATGGTAAGAACTCGTCAATCACAGATAATCCAGCCCTGAAGCAGACTCGTCTTTATGGTCTAATTTCCTCTAAATGGGACCATAATTTACTAAATGAACATCATGTTGTATTGAAGAAGACTTGAAACTAGCGACTGAGACCATAAACTAAGAAGCAGAGTCATTTTACCATTATTTCTAATGAAGCCGGACTTCGTTTTGCAACCAGAAGAGTTGCCCCCTGCTGGCCATTCGATAGAATGTATGTTTATGGGACTTCTGCACTGAATCTTAATGACTCTGGCGTCACCAACAAGTCAAAATGTGCACGCTTGGTCAAGACCCCTGAAGCATGGCTTTTTACTGCCCTAGTGACAGCAGGCTAACTGTAGGCTTTCTCACAATAATGTGGGGAATAAATATGGGTCTGAAAATATTTTTTAAAATAAAAAACTTAACAAACTTAATATTTGAAACTCTCATTTATATGTTTCATATGTCAAAACAAACAAACAAAATATGCATTTCAACCAGCAAAACCTGCTGCTAGTCAGACCAGTGTGTAATATTTTCTGGATTCCTCTGCCTCTAGTTGCCAGGTACTGGAAAGGTGGCGGTTAGCAGCAGCAGCTTTGCAGAGGAGATCAGACTGAGGACCCGGATGAGAGGATCCTTGAGCTGGGCTCCACCACGCTTCCAGATCATCTTCACTATTCAGCCAACCCACAGGTCGTCATCACATCTGACAGGAATATAAACACTGAATACAAATACAAACCAGTTTGCATTTTACAAAAAGCAGATGGATAGATGGATGGATGTTTTGATTCACAATTGACTGTTTATGTTTCCTCCTTCAGACGCAGTGAAGTAGTGGCTTTGCAAAAGTTCCTGTGTGCAGGCTGTGGGACAGAGGTGGAGCCCAGTAAGTGTTGGATTATAAAGATGACATCAGACATCAAACATTTATGAATTATAGGGGATTTCAGCCATTGCTGTCTGTCCAACACAAGGCAGCCTTTAGCGTCATAGTGTAACACACTGGGGGAAGCCCTTTAGTGTCAGTGATCAATCCTAAAAGTAGGCGTACTATAAATAACAGAAAAGTCTGAGTAAGGAAGCGATTGGGGTGTCAGAAACCGGCCTTCAAGTCATCATTCAACAGACTATTTTTATGTGATGAAGTTACAAATCATGATCTTTTCCTAAACCTAACCATGTAGTTTTGGTGTTTAAACCTAACCAAAGTGGGCCGTTTCATGTTAAACACTAGTTTTATTTTGAAGGTCTAACCGGATGTTGCATATTTATTCCCACATTCCCACATAGCCCTACACATACAAAAATGTTGCTAATCAGGGCGTCAAAAAGGCTTGAAATTGAAATACAGTAGAGAGTTTATAAAGAAAAACATCTGTTTTCTGTTGTCTGTTCTTAATATTATGGACCCTAACTGTGAAATTGTCCTAAAATTATAACAAATAACACATAATTTCAAAAAAACAAATAATGTTTGTGCTAAACTACAAAACTGTGGACAACTGTCTTAACACAGTAACAAGACAACAATATGCTTGTTGCTTCTCTCTCACCAGAGTACATCAAGAAACTGCGGTATTGTGAATACCTCGGCAGGTACGTAGAATAATCTGTTGTTATCAATATATTAACAAGGCAAGTTTATTTCCAAAGCACGTTTCAATAACAAGGGAATTCAAACAAGACGTAGCATAACAAAACACTGAGCTACATATTAAATGAATTCAGTTAACGTACTTTAGTAGTTTATTTTAATTCATTTGGCAGGTATTTCTGTGACTGCTGCCACAGCGGCTCTGAGGCTGTGATTCCGGGTCGACTTCTGTCCAGCTGGGACTTTGGCAGGTAATAAAAACACTGCTACTTCTAGTTATAATGCAACTGCTAATAGTTCCATAACTAATATTATTGTCCGCAATATCTGTTACTTATAAATACTGAGATCACTACACAAAAGAATAATAAATAATGCAGTTTTGTTTAGTACTCCTGAGAACACAGGATTATACACAAGTTCACAACGGAGGTTTCTGGCTTGTAGTCTTACAAAAAAGGCGGGTAGGTGGTGGAAAAAACATGTGAAGCGTTTAATGAGGGAGAGAGAGTTCGCAAAAGATCAGGAAACAAGCGCTAAAACAGACGTTATTGTCCCTAAGGGGAAATTAGTTTTCACAGCCCTGTACACACCAGACAACAACAGCACACAGTAACAGCCCACAATGAAAACAGATTACTCTCAGACCAGTTCAGCGAGGTCTCTTATTTAAGGTGGCTGTGGTTAAAGAGAATAGGCTTTTTTCAAAACCTCTGTGCTCTGTCACCCAGAGAGCCGAAGGGTAAAATGGTGACTGAGTGAGTGTGTGATGGTCTCTGCTATTGTGGTTGCAAGTCATGCAATGGCTTTTATGTTTAGTTCTGCTAGCTTGGGTGTGGGGAGACCAGTTATCCTGGCGGCGGTGTTGGCTGTGCGTGTAAGTTGGGCCCGGGGAGTAACCGAGACCATGTTAAAGAAGCAGGTGGAACAGTACAATAGGACGGGCTAAATAATGATCCTATACAACACCCCCTCCTCAACTGAGTTTTGATCACCACATAGACATCCACAGACGCTGCCAGACTCGTGTCGTACCTAAAATCAGGTCACTCTCAAACCACACCTCCTGCTTCTGCTGTACCGTAGTGTCATTGAACCCGTCCTCCTGCACTGTGCTACCTGCTATTTCACCATGCTCTCTCACTAAAAACAAGCTCCTTAAAATCACTAACGCTTCCTCTAAAATTTCTTTCTTTAAAAATCTTTGGTGGATCCTCTTTTGGATACCGTGTGCTGGTCAAAACTGAGTCTGTTGTTCAGTGTCTCTCTGAGGTATTTAAAGCTGTCAACAGTTTCAACTGATTATTGATGACAATGTGATGCTGAAGTGAGGACTGAACTATTTTTATTATCTACGTTTTGCTGACATTGTCGTGAAGATGGTTAACCTCGCACCACTGGGTGAAGGATGCAACAGTGTTGTGATAGTCCGGAGAAGAGTGGTTATCTGTGAGCAGGGCTAGAATGACTGTGTCGTCTGTGTATTTGAGGTAAGCAGTGATGGGTGATGCATTGATTAGTTACAGGAAAGGGCTCAACACACAGCCCTGCGGTGCTCCGGTGTTGGTGGTGAGTGCAGGTGACGTAGCCCTGCCCACCTGCACAGCCTGCAGTCTGTCGCTCAGGAAGTTGTGGGAGAACCAAAGATAGCTGCCACTGTTACACTGAAACCAAAATCAGCTTGGTGGGAAAAGAAGCACAGACAGATGTACACTTTTACTCTTGATATGTTTTATTAATAATATTTTTAATCTTGCAGGTACCCCGTGAGTGATTTCTCCAAACAGTTGCTGGATTCAGTTTGTCACCAGCCTCTGTTTGACCTGACCTGCGTTGGTAAGACACTCTACAGCAAAGTGAAAGAGCTGGACAAGTTCAGGGTGAGTTAGTATTAATTATAACTACTACCATTACTATCCTGGTCATGATCAGGTTTCTGTGCTCAGGATGCGCTGGTTACATGTGCAAACCTAAGAATGAGATAGTCCAAACATCTGGAGACGCCCACATCCTGGTTTTGATAAATCAGATCAGTTATTACCAGAAGGAGATAAATAAATATACACTTGATGAGCTGTGTATCTGCTCAAAATAAAGCAGACTCCGCTGTTTTGCAGCTGTTGAGTGCAGTCAATGATTATTGCTAAAAGTTGCAAACCCACACTGACATGTTATGAAGTTGTACAAAAAGCAGTGGTGGAAAGTAACTAAGTACATTTACTCAAGTACTTTACACTTTTGAGGTACTTTTACATCACTTGAGTATTTTGAATTGATATTACTGTATACTACACCACAACATGTCAAAGGAAACGTATGTGTTACTCCCTTACATTTACTTTTCAGATTAAGATTTTACATTAAATGTTGTGGCCTGTCGTGTTTAGTTGTGTCTCTGTCATATGAGACACAACTAACAATTGGACTAATTGGAGAGGAACAATTAGCGCCTATTTTACTAAAAGATTAGAGAAAAGTCAAGAAACGGATAACAGAATTGTTCATCAGAACTTTATTTCTGCTTCTTTCCTCTCCCATTAATCATCCTCTGACCCCTCGGATTCATCTGGTGACTCTTTGAAGGGGTCCAACCCCTAGGTTGGGAACGACCGGACTAAACTAGCTAACTGTATATAAAGTAGCTCCACCTTGAGTAGCTACATGCTGCTCTAACATTTATGCATCAGTACTATCTATGTATATCTATACTTTAACTTAAGTACATGATCTGAATATTTTCATGCATCTCTGGCAAAAAGCCTGTAAATCAGTGGGGTGGGGTCAATTTTTGTGGAATCCAAGTGAGAGGGGATGTCCTTTTTGGAGGGCAATTATCTAATGCATTGTGCTATTACAGTGCAGGGTATAATTTTACACAAAACTGAATCAAACTTTAAAGATGCGCCCTCTGTTATCAATACACACGCTGTGACAGTTGCATTTACCAGGACCTACGCTCTCTCTCTCTCACTCGCACAGTCTCTCTCTGCAGTTCAGTTAAGTTCAGAGAGAGAAGGAGGTGTCATTTCACTCACCCTTTCTGAAAAATTATAGAGTTCTCCTGTCGTGGTGGCAACGTGGTCACTAACCAAGTTATAGAATTTCCCACTGGCTTATTTTATTTTTTTCAACAACAAAGTCAGTCAAAGTTTGGCACTAGCAGCTAGCCACACTGTACGAATATAGTTTTCCTCATTGAATGTCCAAAACCCCTTTTTTCTCTCCACGCCAGCTCCAGTTTTGGCGTTGGTCTTCCGTCAGATTTAATCTTAAATTGCTGCTGTAGTGGTAGTTTAGTAAAACTATTTATTATGATGAGATATCCTGACTAATCACAGTTAGGCAGTGGCATGACAGTGGCCTCATCTGATTGGTTAATAATTAATTTTTTTTCCCACAAAGGGATGCCAACTCTGTCTGGCCTCCTCGCGTAGTCAGACTGAAGGCCAGTCTACGGTGGTGCAATATAGTGTTTCACCACAAATCCAACGCGTAGCATTTAGAGGGGCGCTGTTTCACTTGTTGCAAGATAGTGAGAAATGGGGAAGAGATGACAGCTTATAAGATTTATCGAAACTATAAACGTGTTTTTATTGAAATGATAAATAGAGTCTGATAAAAACAGGGGAAGCCTGGCTTCCCTTGGCATCTGGGAGAAAACGCCACTGCTGTAAATATTGTTGATTTCACTTTTAGACATGTCCAACACAATCACAGCAGCTGAGATAAATTTCAACTTTATTTTGCCATATCTATTAACTTCATTTGTTTCTTCTGTCTTTATTTGCTCCCATCCCTCCCTCCCTCCTCTCTCCTTTAGGAGCTCCAGGAACAGCTGCTGGGCATAAAGAAGCTGCTGAAAGCTTGCAGGTTTTCTGGAAGGTAGACAGAACATTTATTACACACAATGTATAAGTACAAGCTATGGATGAAATATCAGTGTTTACTGCAGATAATGTTGTGTAATACTGAAATTAATATTTGAGTTGCAAACTTCAGGGATTAACTCAGTGTACTTCAGTATATCACATTATTTAATAAAGCCACTATGTGTAAGATTTGAAAACGTGGTACTTTGGCTCCTTCTAGTGGCAGCATCACGACACTGTGGCAGACAGCAAAACATGCCACAAAAACATATACCATCAGAATAATATCTATATATCTAATCACGTAAAAAAAACGAACTGAGCTTATCCATGAGCTCCGAGTTTACTGAGCCTGAAGTGGGAAACTCTGAGTTTTCACTTGATCAGAATAAGTTCAATCAACTCACAACTCAGTATGTTGAACCTGATGGAAGCGCGTGTGTGGGGAGGAAAAAAAGCCATCATCAATGGAGCTCCGATACTATGACTCACCATGGCAACGGGTAAATAAAAGCAGAACCTCCATTTTAATCAGATGGAGCTAGAAAAATGAGTGTGTGCCAACGTTGACCATGATAGGCTCTAAAACACAGAAGTAGAGGAAGGATCAATACATTAACATCAGTACTTGCTCATTCATCATTTACCAGACTAGAATTTCTTTATTGAATGAATTCTCCTACAGCCCATTACATTCAATTTTAAATATGAAGGCTATATTTAAAATTTTTAGGATATTTTAAAAATAGGTGTAGATCAAATATAAGACACAATTTACTCATGAACCTGTGATTGTGAAGTCACAGTCACACCCAGTAGGTTAGCCTATTAATGTTTTTTTTTTTTTACATTTATTCATTTAGCTGACACTTTTATCCAAAGCGACTTACAATTGCTTTACATGTCAGAGGTCGCACGCCTCTGGAGCAACTAGGGTTAAGTGTCTTGCTCAGGGACACAGTGGTGGATGTCTCACAGTGGGAATTGAACCCCAGGTCTCCCACACCAAAGGCAAGCATCTTATCTATACGCCATCACCACCCCTTTTGCAGTGGAAAATGTGTCTATGGGTTCAAACTAACTGTAAAGGTTTAGCCATATATTTTATATTATTTAAAATCGTGCTTCTGTATACTATTAATATTGTCAAAACACATTCAGACTATCAACAATTAATAATGAAAAACTCACATTTAAACTACATTTAGGCCTGTTTGTTTCAGCTGCACCACAGTCATCCTCACCCAGAAACATCACATTATCTCCAGTTGATTACTACGATAGTAGGAAAGTTCCATATGAAAGATTACTGTTCATTATACTGATTAGTTTAAACAGTGATCACTGCAGTAATGTAGCTCACAGCAAGTGTTTTCAGTGCAACTGTCAGTGTTATACCTAAAGACAATAAATCCACAATGTGCAGAGAAAACTCTGTCCTTACATCGATGACAGATTTATCATAAAAGCAGTCATGTTCAAGATCATGTTTGAGTGAAAAACTGATAGCCTATCTAACCGGATTTTAAAGTTTTTTAAGATGTAGGCTAAATGCGTTCCGATATGTGCTTTGATAGACAGAATGAATGAGGAAATGAAATGGTGTGTCAGACAGCTGCTTCAGGCTCCGCAGGAGGGCAGGAGTTAGAGAGAAAGTGACGGTTTTCCAACTTGCCGGAGTTACTGATCTAGGGATTATCTGATCTCGCTCTCTGAAACCGAAAACCCAGAGTTTCTCTCATCTTGGGCTTAACATACTCAGAATTGTCACTAATCCCCCTTTCTGAAACAGGGCCCAGGGTGACTGAGAATCTTCAGGCATTTTGTAAATACAGCATTTGGATCTGCATTTTGCCAACGACCCCCACAGAGATGTATAATCTACTGTTTTCATGAAGTTAATTGGGATTCATTTGCTGGTGTGTAATGCAAAGAAAAAAGGGATGAGGGGTTAATGAGATAGTTAAAAAGAAGAACACACACACACACACAAAAGTAAAGGTAAAAAATCCAAAGGCACCTGAAGGAAGCACCCACAAGAGAATTATACTGTGAGGTGACCATATTGGGGGAACAGGAACAGCAGAGTTTTAACTGTGAGCTCCACCTGTGCCAACTCCTGTATTAAACTTTCTTGGTGACCTGACTCTTCCCTATTTAAATTGAAGTCATTGCAACTAGTTCTTTTGTCCATTAACAACCAGACCTTTTGAAAAGGTACAGTTACTAGGTTAGAGTAGCTCTAGGCTACTTGGTTACATGTAAAAGTCCTGCACTGAGAACCTTAAAGTCAGTTAGTTAGTTAAAGTACATTTAACTAATAAGTGTTAATAGTAAAAGTACTCATAGTGCAGTGAAATGTTCCTGCTGTAGATGATTAAGGTTGAGCTCATTTTAACTCCTTTGTAAACTGTTGGGCAGTTTAATCTGCAGAAGTGCATATGAGATCATTATATGTTTGTAGCGTCGCTGTCCTGTGAGAACCGCAGATTTCTGTCTTCAGTTTTCAGCTTTGTTATAATGCATTTTCCAGCTGATCCAAGGAGGGTTTAATAGTTTATTTAGCTGAAGGAGGAGGATTTTCTCAGCTCCATGAAATAACTCGTCATCCTACAGTTTTTCACTAAAATGTGGAGATACATGATACACTGGACAGGAAGGGATGAAAAACGGTAATATATAAAGTAACTAAAGCCATCAATGAAGTGGAGTAAAAAGTGTAATATTTGCCTCTGAGATGTAGTGGAGAAGAAGTATAACGTTGCATAAAATTGAGATGCTGAAGCTGCTACTAAAACCTGCCCACAAACAGAATATTTGTCGTCAAGAAGAAGCAATGTTAATGTGACTATGTTTGCATGTGTTTCTGCACCAGAGTGATGACTGAGTTTGAACAGCTTCCTGCTCACCTGACGGAGCAGCCACACCTCTTCTCCATGGACGACCTCTTGAGGGTGAAGAAGGGTCAGCTCGTGACGCAGGCCAAAGCATTGCTGAACTCCGCTATCGACCATGTGGAAAACTGCAAGGTGGGTCTGAAGCACTGTGTGAGGTGGCTTTTGGATATTATTGTTCCTCTTAAAGTAAATAACAGGATGTGGTCTTTGTAGACGTGGACAGTCAGCAGGACAAATCCTAAAGTCAAATCAAGAGAATATCTCCCAAAGATACAGTGTTTTTAATACGAGAATCCCTCTGTGTTATTATCCTTCCACTGCAACACAACAAGGAAACACTGTTCAGGGAAACAGAGTTTTGTACGCATTATGTTTAGAGGAACATTTGAATTCATGTGCACACAACCTGCTCAGGTGTCCTCACATGACCCAAGTACAGAACTTTACCATGTAATACTAATGAGGATGTATGTATTGCCGGACTTTTGTGTGTACGGTAGTGCACAATGGCGACTAAAGCTTTGATCCCATTTGAATTGAGCCCTGAGTTGCACACATGAAGTTTATCAGATTAAAAGATAGTTTTGCAAGTTAAGAAAGTGACAGTTGTCCTTAAAAGTAGTAACTGCTTCTCTTAATGACTGAAGCTAACTTCCATGTGGAGATGATGTGATGGAAGGATCATGGGTTGTTGGATTAAACACATCAGTGAGAAAAAGTTAGTTGTCTCTCCGAAATAAGGTCCCATAAGGTGGAAGTGGAAGGGAGGGTTTTAGGCTCTATAGACACTGGAATGTGTTACTTAAAAAAGTCAAGACCAGCACTCCCAACACATATTTTAAACATTTAATCTTTAAAACGTTTTCTCCCCCCCCCACACAGTTGTGTCTGGCCCGAGGTTTCATCTGCGAGTTCTGCCGAGAAAGAGACGTCATCTTTCCATTTCAGAGTGACATATGTAGGCGATGTCCAGGTAAGCGCTGACAAATGCTGATTACCTTTAAAATAGATGAGATATGCAGGATATGAAAGTGCCAAGGTAAAACGGAGGCAAAAAATAGTCCCTTGTGTATGCTGAATGTGTAAATAGGCAACTTTAAAAATGTAACACTGACATGCAATATCTTCTAACATCCCAATGCTTTTCTGTTCACTTCAAAGTTTGGGAGCAAAAGTGGAAAACAGGAGCACAGCCCCTGTAGTTACAAAAACAATGCAGAAATGATCGACTGTTTTGATATTTCTTTTTACAGTGTGCAAGGCCTGCTTTCACAAACAATGTTTCGTGGAAAAAAAGTGTCCGAAGTGCGCAAGGATCCAATCGCGGAAAAAACGTCTAGATGGATCCGTGAATTGACATCTGATCAGCTGCAGCTCAGCACCGTGGCGGTCCATTTATCACCCTTTGTGTTTGAGCTACATTCCCTTTAACACACTCTCACATAAAAACACTGATGTACATAAAATGTAAATAAATAAATGACTTTTTTATACGGATTCTTGACTGTAGGCTTTCTGTATGATGTTTCTCAGTGTGACTCAGCGAGTCTTCACAAGAGCAGGTTTGAGGTTGGATCGAGTTTATAGTAATCAACAATCGAAGCAGCAAGCTCATAAGGTAAGCCGGGTCAGTAATGTGAAAACATTTATCAGTCAATCACCACCCGTACTGCTTAAAGTTTGGTAATATATACTGTAAATGAACGTCAAGTGCAGAGGCAGGAAGAACAGGATTTGGACCCAAACGCAAGACACAATGAAGCTGAGCAGGTTCTGTTCTAAAGTATTTATATACCAAAACATAAAATGTACAAACTTAAAGTGGTTCATGTCCAAAACAAAAGCAAAAAAATCCACACAAGGAAGGTAATAACTTCCAAAGTCCACCGACAAAATGAATGCAAATAATCCAGGCAGACGCACAAAGCATGGACACAGGCGGACTGACGAAGACCAAGAAGAATCACAGACAATACTAACACATACACACACAAGCAGGCAGGGTGATTACACACAGGTGAGACACATCAGGCAATCAAAGGGAAGACACGGACAGGAAAGAAAGTGGGATAAAGCACAAGGCGGAGAAACTTCCAAAATATAACAGGAAACACCAAGCAAAACCCAAAACCCTGACAGTTGAGAAGCCAGAAGAAAACGAATACTTGACTGTGTTAGACTCAGAGTGTGAGGCGTACGTACCAGTGCAGACAACGTACAAAACTTGTCTCAGGGCTGTACCCCATCAGAGCTCTTTTCCGTTACAGGAACTTCATTAATGACACGTACCCTGGAGCTTCCCATAACCCGAACATTTTCAGATCCTGTAAGGTTTGGGTTCTAGATTCTGCCTCGTGTTTCTACCATCTTTTACAAACCGTAATGTTTTGGATTCACCATAAAAGGGCGATACCAAGCTATGGGGGCACGCAAAAATATCACACATGTATATAATCACACTCAAGGCCTGTTTTGTTAAACTGGAGCCTAAAACCCACCCTGTCGTCAGAAAAGCAGAAATACACAGTCTGTATCCCACCTTTCTAGTCTTTGGGACCACTCAAAGTGCATTACATTATGTCACACCCAACTGCTCAGTATTTTGCCCAAGGACACTTTGACATGCAGACTGGGGAAGCCTGGTATTGTACCACTGACCTTCTGGTTTGTGGACAACCGCTCTAGCCCCTGAGCCACAGCCACCCCAAATATCATTTAAAGAACTGAAATGGAAAGGCATGTTTATTTAATATACAGAACTGTGGCCTATTTTAAAAGATTTATTCTCTGTTTGTTGTTTCCCCAGAAAAGGCGGAGTTCTACCTCACATTGTCTTGAGGTCAAAACCCCAGATTCCCTATTCCTCTTTATCTGCTTAATCACCAAACTTTTACTGTTTTCTTGGACTGTATAAATTAGGGGCCTTGTTGTCATCTCTGGAATCACAAGGATAAGATTTGAAAGTACCTTTAAAGATAAAACTCACTGCTGGATACCAAATTATGTTTTGACTTTTCCCCAAATGTTTATGTAGGAACAATATGTGACAGAATTAGTGCTGAGGTAACAAATGAAGTAAAGTATCCCAACTTCAGAAACTCCAGACATAAGCTATTAGGGAATTCAACCTTAAGGGAGTAAAGAGAAAAACTTGATTCAAAAAGTTGTCAGCAAAATGAAACAAAGTTAGTGTGAATGACTTAATGAGCAGAGCTAACATGAAGTGCCCCCATTAGAAGATCCAACACACACACACACACACACACACACACACACACACACACACACATTAATTCCCTCAAGATTTAATTTGCCTCTCTGTGAACACCATTAAGCAGCCTGTTAGCTGTTTCTAACGGTGGTGTGCCGAACCCCTCCGGACAGGAAGTTTCTCACCTGCATGGATTTGTGTCCGAGGTGTCAAGAAAAACAAGCTTCAGCATAAACACACAATGCAGCCGCCACACACCAACATGTGATGCAATCATTGCTGACAGTGTGTGTGTGTGTGTGTGTGTGTGTGTGTGTGTGTGTGTGTGTGTGTGTGGGGGGGTTCTTGTTGAGAGTGTCTGTCATGACTTTGTGTTCGTTTAGATTCCATTATTTAATGAAGAAATACTTTTTATAATAAAAACAATTGACCAAATTACAGTGTGTGATGTGTAAAGGGGTCATCACAGTCACAAATCCACTCATCCAATTATCACCCGACTCTGCAGTTCCTCTCAACTCTATGATATGTCTTTTAATTAATAGTTTTGGTTTTAAGGCCCCAACTTCACTGTTTTGGTTTACACTCACTATTCTCATCAACAGGCAGCCCACCACCAAACAGCAGACACACACAGTCAGAGCCAATCCCAGCTGACATCAGGCAAAAGGCGAGGTACACCCTGGACAGGTCGCCAGTCCATCACAGCTTTATTCTAATAAAGACAACCAAATGTATTACCACTACTGAGCTTTGCCTTTTCCCTTGTTATCAAAATATTCCACGTATTACCATATTTTTCTTCTTTTGCTCATGTAGCAAGTGAAACAGCCCCCCTCTGCGAGCATTACAATGTGTAGTTGATGTCCTTTGTTCTCTCTAGTGAAATGTTACCATCACTCAAAGGAGGCCAGCTATGGCTGGAGAATGAGGCCAGTAAGCTCAACATTCAGTGGTCAATTCATTATTTAAAAAACCCAAGGGAGGCTATGTAGGACCAGTATAAAATAAAATAAGTGATATGCTGCACTGATATGAGCTGAACTTTCAGGTCATTATGAACATGTCTGTTAGTCCTGCCTAAAGACTAGCTTTAGTGATTATGCCCCCTGAGCCGCCACTGCTGCCCAAGGCCCCATCCACACCACCGTGTTTTCTGCTACGTTTGCATCTCCTGTCCAGACTAAACAGCAAAAATGAAGACCTAAAACAGAGAAGTTTGAAAACGGACTTCAGAAATGATGACGCCGATGCTCACATTCGGCTCTCTGATTTGGTCTCAGAAGTCATGCAAAGCAGACACACAGTTTTTGACTTGGTAATTTTATTAAAATATTTTGTACCATGCAAATAACACTTGTCTGCCTACACTTGTACTGTGCATGTCGCTGTTTACTCATCCTTCCCCCCTGGTGGTCTTGTGGACCTCACAGCTAATTTTCCTTCATTCTCTCCAACAGCCATACCAAAACAGTCCTATTACAACACGGTTTGTTGCTCCATAACGCTCTATACACCAGCACCATGGTGAGCTCATGTACTTCGCTCTGTCTCCGTCTCCATTCACTGCATCACCATGGGTAATGTCCTCTCCACTGGACCACTGCTCCCCCTTCAATCATGCTCATTATTGGAGACTTGATAGTGAGACAGATGAGGAAAAAAATGGCAGTGGGTTTTTGCCTTCCAGGTACTAAGGTGACTGAAACCCTGGATAAAAAATTCCCTGTATCCTGGCCAAACACTCACTTGCCGATTGGCGGCAATGACATCTAACAGGAGATCCCAGCAATATATAACTTTGGACAGGTTTGTGCAGCAGTGTTCATGAGTGAGAGAGAGATTTTTACAAACTAATGTCAATCAATCAAAAATATATATGGAAAAGAAGATGAATATTCACCCCCTTTAAAGTGACCTCCAGCTAGTTGATGCAAGAAGTGTCACAATAAGTGAAATGGAGATCACCTGAGTTCAGCTGATGTGTCAAGTGATTGTAGTATAAAAAACACCTGTGTCTGGGAGCTCCAGTCTCTGGTTCATCAGTGTTCCTACTATAATTACAACATGAAGAAAAAAGAACACTCCAAGCAACTCAGAGAAAAGATCAGTGAAAAGTACAAGTCAGGAGATGGCTACAAAAAGATTTCCAACTCACTGGACGTAGAAATGGATGGAGTATGGCGCTTGTTTAAATCTGCCTAGAGCTGGCCGTCCTCACAAACTGAGTGACAGGGCAAGAAGAAGACTGGTGAGGGAGGCCACCAAGACACCTACGACCACTCTGAAGGAGTTAAAATCTTCAGTGGCTCAGATGGGAGAGACTGTACATTCAACAACTGTTGCCCGGGTTCTTCACCAGTCGAAGCTGGATGGGAGAGTGGCAAAGAGAAAGCCGCTGTTGAAAAAAGCTCATATGAAAGCTCCTCTTGAATTCTCCAAGGCCAATTGGAAGAAAGTTCTTTGGTCTGATGAGACAAAAACTGAGCTTTTGGACATCAGACTAGACGCTATGTTTGGCCACAAACACACCATCTCCACCGTGCAGCATGGTGGTGGTGGCAGCATCATGCTCTGGAGATGCTTCGCAGCAGCAGGCCCTGGAAGGCTTATAAAGATAGAGGGTTTCATGAATGCAGAAAAATATCGCCAAATCCTGGAGGATAATCTGACTCCATCTGCAAGAGAACTACAACTTGTTTTTTTCCAGGAAGACAATGACCCCTAGCATACAGCAAAAGCTACACAGGAATGGTTCAAAGACAACAAGGTGAACGTTCTGGAGTGGCCAAGTCAAAGCCCAGATTTCAGTCCAATTGAGAATTTGTGGCTGGACTTGAAAAGAGCTGTTCATGCCTGATCCCTGAGCAACCTGACAGAGCTTGAAATGTTTTGCAAGGAAGAATGGAGAAAAATTGCAGTTTCCAGATGTGCCAGCCTGAAAGCTTTTTGCTGGTCGCACAGAATTTACAATAGACAACAATGCTCTTTGCATCTTAGACTGTGACACAATAATGGCAGTAGCTGCTTACAGCTGGAAAGAACGCCTCTCTCCCTCGTTCTCCATTCTTCCTTTAGTGTTTGTCTAACTGCTGATATGAACAACAGAAGGCCCGGTGCTGCTGACCTGCAGCGTAGTCGCACATTCACGTCAAGGATGGTGCGTTCAGTAACGAGTAATGCAGCGTTACTTGGATTAGTAACTGTAATAATATTTCTGTTTTAGAAAAGTAATTAGTTACTCTACTAGTTACTGGCAAAAGTAATAATATTACAGTTACTGAGT